CTCCCACTACAACTCCTGCTAACACAGAAAGGTTTTTATCAAAATCCTGGACTATCAGCTAATCCTTCTTGGACTTTTTATTTATGTGGAGAATTTGGTTATAATGCACTCTTGTCATAACAAATTTTTATCTAGAATATGTTAACATGGGTTGGTTTTTTTTGGAGGGGGGAGTGGTTTTTGATAGGTACTTTTAAAAAAGAAAGCCTGGGAACTATCCCAGAAAGATAGTTTCTCTCTCTCTCCTTTCTGAACTATGAGGCTTTGGTGTGCTTCATTTATAAAACTCATTCATTCATTGATTCATTTTTTCACTCTGCAATTATTATATCCACTCTCTGTGCTAGGTGCTATGTTAGGTGCTGGGAATTCTGTGCAGACAGAATGTAGCCTGCTCAGTCGTGGAATTGCTCATCTTGGAGGAACACAGGGATGAAACACATACTCAAATCATGGACTAATTGCACGGTGATGAGTGCTACAGAAGGGAAGGGAATACTGCGAGAGTAACAACCAGAGACCTGCTGCTGTCAGGGGGGACTGTCAGGGAAAGGGGAGGTCATCCCTGAGGAACTGACATTGAAATCTGAGGCTTGAAGACATAGGAGCTGGAGAGGTGGGAAATGAGCAGGGGAATATTCCTGGCTGTCTTCATTGTCTATTACCGCAAATCATGGTGGCTTAAAACAGGAACATTTATTATCTCAGTTTCTGTGAGTCAGGAATCTGGGTGCAGTTAGCTGAGCCCTCTGACTTAGGGTCTCTTACAAGGCTTGAATCAAAGTGTCAACCAGGGCTGAAGTCATCTAAAGGCTCAATGGGGGGTTGATTTGCTTTCAGTATGATTCACGTGGTTGGTGGCAGGATCCATTTCCTCAAGTGCTGTTGGACTGAGGCCTTAGCTCCTCATAAGCCGTTGGCTCAAGAGCTTCCTCAGGTCCTCAAGGCCACCTGAGCCTCTCCACAAGCATCGCACAGCATGGCAGTTGACTTCATCAGAGCGAGCAAGGGAGAGGGAAAGTGTGTGAGAAAGACAGAAGTTACAATCACAACCTAATATTGGAACTGCTATTCCATCACTTTTGCTCTATTACATTCATTAGAAGCAAGTCACAAGGTCCAGTCCACACTCAAGGGGAGGGGACCACACCACCCCGTGAATACCAGGAGGTAAGGATGATTGGGGGTGTGGGCATCCCTGCCACACTGGCAGAGGAAACCCAAGTGAGAGCCTTAAGGCTGGAAGCAGAACTCCTTCAGGTTGCTGAGATAAGGCTCTTGTAGGTATAGAGAGGAAAGGTCAAAGGGCGAGATATGGCTGGAAAGTAAGCAACAATTCCATTGAGGAAGATTTTAAAGTATGCGAAGGGTACACTTAAGGACAGTGGGGGTTGTCACAATGTGACTATGCAGTTTGTATCTGGCACAAACCCTTCATAAACGACGAGGATGTGATTTCGGGTTGACTGGTGAGGATTGCACCCTCTTCCCCAACTCTTTTATTTTGCAACAAGTACAGACCAAAGCACACATGGGAATGCTAACAAAACACATCCTCGAGAAAAAGAAAATAACAAAATGCGGTAAATCCTCTGCATGCTCAGACAACTCAAGTCAGTTTCAGACTGTGCCAGCGGCGGGGCGATGAGGCCTCACGTGGCTGTGGCGAGGATGGGCAGCACGCTTCCTACCCTGGGGAGTGTGTTCTCTTGTGGGGCTTCTCCGAGCCACTGACTCTGCACCTGTGCTGGATGCTACCCAAACACGTTGCTTCACTTGGGAATAATTATCTCCTCCCCCACGCTCACTCTTTCCCCTTCACACCCATCCTTTAGTATGCGCTGATGATCACACCCTGATGCAGACACAAACTGAGCATTTGCGTGAGGACTCCAGAGTCTTGTGTTAGTGCATAAAAAGAATAAAATGAGGAGGAGCCCTAAATGTCATCTTAGAACTCACACTGTAACATGTTACCCATTAGAGAACTGTTGTGTGCAGCCTGAGCAAGAGTGAGCTGAGGGCAGAGACCCTTGAGCTCAAGAGTTCAAGACCAACCTGAGCAAGAATGGGACACTGTCTCTACTAAAATAGAATTAGCCCAGCATGGTGGTACGTGCGTGCCTGTAGTCCAGTACTCAGAGGCTATCCTCAACCCAAGAGTTTGAGTGGTGCTGTGAGCTATGATGATGCCACTGCATTCTAGCCAGGCAACAGAGTGAGACTCTATCTCAAAAAAAAAAGAGGAAATACAAAAAAACTCTATAGATCCCCAAATGTACTCATTCGTGGCATCTATGTCCTAGACTCATTTCAGTTTCATATGCAGAACTAAATCAGAATGGCAAGAAGAAACACACATTCTGTAACTTAATTTCTGGCAGTGTTGGCTACATCAGTTTGCTTTGGGCTTTAAGAGAGATTCCAGTGTTTATAACAATTTGAGGGAAAGTGGAGGTGGTTCATGTTACCTTTCTTCTAAGGTCTAAAGAAATACACGAAAGAAAGAAGGAAAGTGTGTGTTCTTGGGTAATCACTCTCTCATTTAAACCCTGCTAAGACGGTGCTGGTCTGAGGCTCTGCTCTAAACCACCTTCCAGAATGCGAGCTGACTTGGTGTTCCAAAACAGTTGGGGGGTTTCTTGCTTCAGCTTTGGGTGTCTGTATGGTTTGTGTTCAGCTGGCAAGGACACGAAAGGCGGGAAATCCCACCTAAAACAAGCCCTCAGGTGGACCTCAGGGTGACACACATGAAACGCTGAAAAGTTTCCACTGGGCTCTGTTGTTCAATTTTTTTTTTTTTTTTTTTTGAGACAGAGTCCCCTTGTTGGCCCAGGCTAGAGTGAGTGCCATGGTGTCAGCGCTAGCTCACAGCAACCTCAACATCTCTTGGGCTCAAGAACGCCTCCCGAGTAGCTGGACTACAGGCATGCGCCACCATGCCCGGCTAATTTTTCTGGATATATATTAGTTGGCAATTAATTTGGTTTTCTATTATAGTAGAGATCGTCTCGCTCTTGCT